GGTTCAAATACCCTCTGGCCCCTTTTTCTGCCCTTTTTATTTATTTTTATAATTATTCCCTTTTATTTTTTTAAAAAAGAATTAGCGTTAATGTTCACCTATTTATAGGCTGTCACATTCCATTTTCTCTTCTGCACTTTCTTATATATATATTTTTTTTATTTACTCTTTTCATTCAAAAATAATTTTGTATTTAACATTTTTTCTCTTACAAAGAGAGAGTTTGTTTCATCTTCTTTTATTCCTTGAATTATATATTAAAAATCCTTTTTACGATTTTGTTTACTTTCATATAAAACATTCATATAAAAATAAAAATATTTATTAAATAATTAATTAATTATTTTATATGCCCCATATAAAATATTTCCTAGATCCGCCACTGCATAGTAACACATTGAAGCGTGGAAAACCCCTAAAAAGGTTTTCAAAATCGCAATATAATTTTTATTTTGAGAAAAGAAAGAGAGAATAAGAAATGGTAAGACGAGAGAGGAAACCCTAAACCCTAAATGGTGACCAAAGGGCAGAGGGAAGAGCTGTCAAAAATGTCAATTCCTACATCGACCCACAAATCTTAATGCTTGTAGACTACGCAACGCATCTCCTACCTCTTGTTTTACCACTTCTTCATTAATTTACTCTCTTCAATTGCTTTCCTTTTTTGTCCCTCATTGTTGCTTTTATAATTAATTGTGTGGCCTCAGGGTTAATGAGCTTTGGTATATTTGGTATCTCCGATTGTGATGTGTAACTGTTTCCTAATCTCTCTCCTTCTTAAATCTTTGATATGTCAAGAAAATCTCGACCGTAGATCTCTTTCTCATTTTTCTATTTAAACTCTTTTGCCCTTTCTCTAGTTTCTTCACCCAAAATCTTTTATACTTCTTCAGATCTTGTGTTTCTCTTGAGTCTTTACTAGTTTACTTATTCTGGTTTTATGATGATTGGTTCAGACCATGAAGTAGTAGCAGTCATTATTTGCTATTGCATCATCTTCAAGATTCAAAAATCATATTCTTTGATAGGTTCTCCTTTGAGCCTATCTTCTTTGAATCCTGATGATGCTGCAGCGGCAATCAAATGACTTATTTTCATATTATTTTAAACTCAAACGTTTAATTTACCAGAAATCCAGAGCAACATATCTTTAGATCTGTCCGATAAGATGACTTGTGACGAGTTCTACTGCACAGGTATGCAGATATATCTAGTAAAGCACACATATATTTGTTTTTGCATATATTTGTTAAAGTAGGTATAAATAGTGAACAACTTTTCTTTATGAAACGATGATGAATGGTATAAATAGCTATACGTTTATTGTTTCAATTGATTATATGAACTTTTTATAGTCTCGCTGTACTTTTGGCTGCACAATGTATGGACTGTGAAAAATTCTTAAAGGTTTTAGGGTTTTCTTTCTGCGGAAAAAGTATCTATAGTCATTTTTGTAGCTTCTTTTTTTTTTGTCATTTTAACTATGATATCTAGACCTGTATATTTAATGGGGTCCCTGTTTGATATGGGTTTCGCATATAAAACAATGAATTAAAAGGGATTGGTAAAATATGACATTGCGTAAGGAGGGACGCATGTCTGTTGTTTTATGCTCGGTTACATTTGTTTATCTGTACCTTCCCTTTGTCTATTGGTTAATCAAATGACTCATGTGAAATCTAGCCCTCGTTTTCGTATCCATGTTTCTTTAGTTTCGGATTATGTTTCTCTAATATAGTAGATGCTGATGTGATGTATACTCATATGCTTATTCACATTTTGTTGAGTTTATAAAAAAATTGAATCTCATTAGTGTCTACTAGAACTATGATCTAACTCTGCTTTGAAAAGGATGAATATTTGTGTGCAAAATTTGTAACTGCGAAGATTAACTGATTTGTTGTACAGCAAGAAGTTTTTGAACACGAATATTATTATTGAGTTTGTAAACACACACATTCTGTGTACAATTAAAACTCCATACTTAGACCAAGTAGACGTAATTAAGACAACTCCATATACAGTAAAAAATTAAAGAGAACTGATATTTCATGAGTTTGAACAAAAGGTGCCAGACCTAGATCCATATTTTTAGAACGAAAAACCATAACATTTTAATTTATTTTTTAATTGCTGGTGTTGCATATTATTGTTGATCATATTTGTTTGGATTGCACAATGATAAATTGATGAAATTAATATCAAAGAAAAAGATTTACAATATTAACAGATCTACTCACATCAGATTATGTTATCTCTAAAAATGTGTAGTATACCGCATGTAATCCCTAAGTTTGGCAGTTGCAGCAAGTTTGATCTACGAAACCTAGTTAAGGAAGAGTTTGATATTATGTTTCTTTAATTAGTTCAATTAGTTATGATTATATCTACAAATATATGGATTGTGGCTAGAATTTTCCAAGTAAAAATCTGGATGTCTTTGCTTAAACACAGAGATTCAAATGGCCTGATCTGATTGTAATTATACAGAAGATTTCAATATATGGAGGGGTTTGATCATTGCAACGTTGAATAGCATGTTTTCAAATGTATATATTAATATTAGAGCAATGACGGCAGACAAAAATACTATAATAGATTTATATATAATTAATCCCCTATATATTAATTGAGGAACATTTGAAAAGATATAATCTCAATTTTGTATTAATTAAAAGAGACCCCAATGCTTAGGTGTCATTCAATTAGGTAGTCAATTAGATTCAATTGAAAAATAAGTAAGTCCACATTGGATTTTTATAGATTGCTAGATACATTAATTAGTCAAACTATATGATATAATGATATGATATGCTATTTTCTTTCCATAAATAAAACCTACAGAATTACCATAAATGACTAATATATATATATGACAATTAATGATTGTTCCCTAACATATAGTTACTATTTTATTTTATTTCCATAAATAAAACCTAAGGAATTACCATAAATGACTAATATATATAAATATGACACTTAATGATTCTAATAATAAATATTTGATAACAGTTTATATATCCTCCATCATTTTTCTTTAATTTTATATTATTAAAATAAATTAAACAATCAAATTAGCTATAAAATTAAACTTTAGATTTTTTCGTATAGGTTATATTTTGAATTTTAAGAAACGAGAATAAATAACTAAACTATTAAAATTATTATGNGACACTTAATGATTCTAATAATAAATATTTGATAACAGTTTATATATCCTCCATCATTTTTCTTTAATTTTATATTATTAAAATAAATTAAACAATCAAATTAGCTATAAAATTAAACTTTAGATTTTTTCGTATAGGTTATATTTTGAATTTTAAGAAACGAGAATAAATAACTAAACTATTAAAATTATTATGTTAATAATTAATGATCAATAGTTTAACATTTTATTATAAAAAGATTTACATGATTTTAAAACCATATAAGTAAAAAGTATCATTCAATAATAAAACAAATATATATATACAGATTAAACTATATACCATATAAGATTACATAAATATTTTAATTTCAAAATTTTCAATAAATTTACAAGAACATTTATAAATTATAAACTTATTAAATTTTTCACATTGAAATTTTTTGTTATCAATGATTTAAATATCTTAGTTCTTTTTTTTAATTTTATATTTTTAAAAGATATTAACAATCGATAATATGGTTATTTTTGGTATAAACCATACAAACCGAATGGATGTGATTTTATAAAAACCATAGGATTTGGATATGGTTTGATTTATAATCGATTAAACTGAAACATGTAAATATATATATATATATATATATATATATTTATATTTATAACGACGCATGAATATCTATTTGTAACATGAGTTGAACTATAATTATAATTTGTAAATAGCTAACAATTTATTACAACTAAGACTTCTTATTTTGATCTTTTGCTTTTTTAACAGTAACTAATTTGAAGTAAAGATTATAAATTTGATGGACAACAATTAGTTGAAATTCTTTACAACTTTTTTTATCTTTAAACAAACAGAGTTGTGTTCAATCGAAGACATATTGGTTTGATGAACACTAAATATGGAAGAATATAAAAACTTTTCTTTCATGCTTCTGTTTTGTTTTTTATTTTTATTTTCAAAATTTAGTGTTTTGATATTAATTCTAGATTTGATCATTTTATTAGATAATAGAAGCCTTTTTTTGTTTTTTATTCTTTTATTTAAATATATAATACTTTTTAAATAAATGACTCTATGACAATATGACTCTAAATATGATCATATTATATATTTGTAGAATATATAATATGATCTCAAACTAAATAATCATGTTTTTTGGTATAAAATTGAATAAACTGAAAACCGATGGTATATAAACCAAATCAAACTGAAGTACATATAGATTTAGAATAGTAGTTATATTTTAATGATCGAAATACCAAAAAATCGAGCCGAACCGAAACCCGATATCCGGATTGAACACCTCTAATCCGAATGAAACCGAACTATTGTTTCACTTTTAAAAACATAATAAAAATAATAGCTTCATCCCGCGCAAGGCGCGGGTATTATCCTAGTTACATTATAAAGATGATGCAAATGCTAATAGGCAAAAAGCAAATATTTCATCAGCCATCTCTACAAAATGTTGATTGTTCATTGGCATGCTTGATTTGATTTATTGTATCCTCTATTAAGACAACATGCGGACAACACTTCGTCCACTGCTATTTTCACTTTGTGGAATCTTTTGTACTTTAGTTTTGCTCGTAACTATGGTGGATGACATTTTACTATAATACGTTTCTCATTGTTTAACATAACAAAACGAAAATAGGAGTGCGTTATTAGCCTAAAGGCAATAAAAAGTAACATGGGCCTGCGTCTCTAATCAGTCGCTTCGGTCGGAATACTCTTCTTTCCTGTAATCAGGTGAGCTCGATAACCCTGCGAAAGAACTTTATCCTTCTTCCCTTCAATCTAAGCTCATAATTAATTTTTGAAGCTTTGAAGCTATGGGAGATGCAATTGATTAATTTGAGTGGAGATGGTGGCGTCTTGAAAGAGATTGTAAGGAGAGCCAAACCTGATGCTATTTCAATTTCACCTTCTGTTGATCTCTCTGCCGTAGATGGTATTTTCAAAATTGTAGGTTTACATTCATCAGATGATAAAGACAAGACTTTTCAGTTATTCTGACTCTGTTTTGATTTTATTAGTTCACTATGACTATGAGGGTACGTACACTGGCTGAAGACGGACATGTCTTTGACACTACACGCGAAGACAATCTTGTCTTCTCCTTTGAATTAGGATCAGGCATTGTTATCCGTTCATGGGACATTGCACTTAAGACCATGAAGGTTATGTACTTACACTGTGTTCTTGAATCTGAGCTTTTCATTTGACGACTGATTTGAGCAATCTTTGTTTTTTACAGGTGGAGAAGTTGGAAAAAAATTACATGTAAGCCAGAATATGCTTACGGAATCCCGACATTCCACCTAAGTATGTTATGTTCCTAACTTGTTGAATCTTGTTCCAAGGACAGAGAGATTTATGTTTTTAATGTTTTTGTAATTGACATGCAGTGCTACTTTGATATTCGAAGTGGAATTGGTTGCTTGTAGACCGAGGAAAGGTTCTAGTGAGGAAGTGTTTCTGACGACAGAGCTAGGCTAGAGTAAGCATTATGACTATACATATGGACCTCACTAGCTTACTCAAAATTGTGCATATACAAAACCCATTACCCTTTTTGCTTTATGATTATGGGTTACATAGTGGCAGAGATCTGAAGAAGCAGAGAGATATTGCTGCGGCTGCTAGGAAGGATGATAAGAAGAAGAGAGAAGAAGCAAAAGCTGCTGCAGCTGCTAGGATTCAAGCTAAGCTAAACGCTAAGAAAGGTCAACGCAAAGAAAAAGGTAAAGGCAAAACTAAATAAGTCACAAACCCAAGATGACCAAAGTTGTCGTAAACTCTTAAGATGATATACCATTTCATGATTTTACCTTCAATGTATTATGGCTAGTCATCAATTATCATAATGGTCATTTTATGATTTGCTTTGTGTCTAAAACTTGTTGAAGGTAAAATTGACCCCAACATGAGAATTGTTTGAAAATAGGGATAGCAGTTAATAAAAAGAATATATTGTTGTTTGACAACATGAAATGCAATATATTAAAATAACTGAAGTACATTTGAGAGTTGTTTGAAAACAACGATGGCAGTTAATAAAAATAATATATTGTTGTTTGACAACATGGAATGCAATATATTAAGAAAATGGGTTTGGTTATTAAGAAAAATTGAAAGCTCTATAAATAAACTATCTATCTGGGCCAGATTTACAATATATGAAATTGGTAAGTTTAATCACCTAAAAATACCTTTTGTTTAAAATAATCATAATATAAAATTTAAAATTTATATACATATTTCAAATCAAAAGAATAATTCAAAATTAATTTATATCTAAATTTGATTCTAAAATATACATATATTCAAAAATTGATTTTTACTAAAATATTTTTCAATAGCGATTATAAAAAAAAAGTTTTCAATATATATAAGAAAAATATAATACAAAGCAGAAACACCAAGTTATATTGTGGTTTTTATATTTGACATTATGTTTTTAAAATATAAGATATGTAATTATCCCCCTATATATTAAAAGAGAAGTCACTTTAATGAATTTTGCTTACGTGTCATTCATATGTGCAATGTAGAATTAATTCTCTTAATTTGATTGGTTGTTGACATTTGAATTTTTATTTATTTAATTAAAGTTTTTTAAAAGGAAACTAATCCTAGAATTACCTAATCTAATATATATTACCAAACAAACAATTAACCATCTTAAATACATAGGATTAATATAATTTGTTTATAGAAACAATTAAATATCACATATTCCATTATAAAAATTTAGAATATACATATAAATCCTCTTATATATTAAATGAGAAGTCACTTTAGTGATTTTTGGTGACGTGTCGCTCATAGGTGAAGTTTCAAGAAATTGTTATAATTTGATTGGTCGATTGTTCTTAATTTTTATTTATTTAATTTAGATCTAAATATTTAAGGCAAGTCTAAAATCATTTAACATCACTTGCCATATAATCTAAAGAATAATACAAATAACAATTTATGGAAACTAATTCTCGAAATTATAAAAAGATTAATAATGTTTTATTTATTACTTTTAATATTTACTCACTTAATTAATATTTTTAGGTGTCTTTGAGTTTTAGAAAAACTATTATAATTTGATTTGTTAATAAATTTTCTATTTTATTTATTTTATGAGTAAGAAAATCACTTCTAGAACTAATTTTTCTCAGTATCCTAACGACATAAATATATTTCCTAAATATATTTCATAAAATAATTTATGGTAATTAAATATGTGATTTATATAAAATATATAAAAAATGAAATCCTCCTAAATATTTGATCCAATAAGACCCTCTTAGATTTGAAGAAATGCATGGTGGATTATTTTTTCCATATAATTATAATCAGGAAGTTATTATTTTAAATTAATTAAACTTATTTTTGGGAGAGATATATATTGGTGTAGTCTATTAAATATATTGGTGAATCTTAGTTAATATTCGTAAAGGTGATCCTAATAATGGTTAAGTGGACATCACTCCATCTTATGAAGACCACCTATCTCATGATGCACCAATTAAACCACACTAACCGGTTTAGAGGCAACCTTCTTCACTTAAATTTTCTAATAATTTTATAAAAATATTATATTTTCTATTATATATGTTGGTTTTTCAATACACCTATAAGCTTTGTTTCAATTATACCGATTTAATTAAAATGATATGGAATACTAGTTAAATTAAATGGTTATAATTGAAATCGGTTTAATTTTAATATACATTTGTGATATAAAGTTATATCGATTTATTTAAAATGATTAACGGTCGAGATATGTATATCAATCTGGTTAGATAAGCTTTGGAATTGTAATTAATTATTTTTAATTAATTTTAAATACATTTAATTAACCAATATCAAATTATAATTTTCGTATAACAAAAATATATGCAAATCTAAGTAAGATTCCTTATTATCTTGTCATTAATTCGTTATTGCTACTATATAGTATAAAAGTCTATACAAATGATATTGCATTAAATGTACATTTTTCAACATGTTCATTATTAGTTAATTCATGAATTGTTAGTCCTTAGCAATTATTGTAAACCTAATTATAGCAAAATAGCTATAATATTTTTTCTCTAAACTGTTTCATGATTAGTTTTAATCTAGGTGATATTCAGTTTTACTCTTACATTTTAATTCGTATATATTACTACTATACATTAAATATTCGAATACAAATGTGATTTTATTTGTATTTAATTTTTCTAAATATTCCTAATTAGTTAATTCCTTAAATTTTAATATTCTTTTTGTTCTAAATTACTTGTGATAGTTCATATATGCAATTATTGCAAACCACATTATAGCAATTTAGTAATGCATTCCCACAAACTCCTTCGCCATTTTAATGTACATATCTTTGGAGGTTTAGCATAAGGCATATAAATATATTATGCTAATAACTCTCAAACGTGGAAGTTGGAGAATATATAAAGTTGGTCAGGGTCTTACACTACAAACATTAAAGTTATGTTGATAATTCAAAAAAAAAAAAAAACAAATGGCAATGGTTCAAACAGATACATGGAATATTGTAGTTAGGATTATTCGTCTGTGAAAGAATTATAGCAAAGAGACCAGAGACACTATTGAAATGGTATTTGCTGATAAAGAAGTAAGAAATGAAATCATTTTTAACTTTGCCTATTGAACCGTAACTATTCTTATTATTAGAAAAATATTAAAATGTTTACAACCACGTTAGTAAAAGATTTCATTTCAAATCTCTTTTCTCTTCAAAAGGTTTAATGTTGCAGTCTTCAGAATAAATATCTCAGGGTTCTCGGGGGTTCTTCAAAAATTCCTTTGTCTAACAGAAAAAAACAATAAGAGTGAGGCAATGATGTTGAGGATCAGCACCCTAGAGAACAATCGCAATATGCTAGACATTTTTCATATGTGGTGAGATTCTCTACAAAACTTTTGTGAATGCTAAGATAAGAGTTTGCAGCATTACCTCCTACACCTATTTCACATTGTTTAATATTAAAATGTTTATTTCCAAATTGGCAAGAGATCTCAATTCAAATCTCTTTTCTCTTCAAAAGGTTTTATTGTTGCAATTTAAAAAAGAAATATTTAAGGGTTCTGGTGGTTTTTACAACTCTTTTGTCTAAAAAAAGAAGCCAATAAGAGCGCGAGACAATGCTGTTGAGGATCAGTTCTCTGTCAACAAAAAACACTCTAAAAAAATCAAAAGCAAGTGAAGCTGGAGAAATGGAAGAAGAATCTATTCTTTTTTTTTTTGTTGAACACCAGTTCACTTACTGTTATTTCTTGAATTTGGTTTGTTATTTTATTGGCTTTAATTATTATTTATTTTCTCAAAGAAAATAACATTATATCTCTTGCAATTACTTTTTGATTAACACCTAATAAATAGTTGAAAGAAACTATATTATCCTACTATCTCTTTCTGTATATTTTGAAATACAATTTAATTAAACAATCAATAATGAATAGTTACATGTGGTTCAAGGCAAAATATTTNCTTTTTGATTAACACCTAATAAATAGTTGAAAGAAACTATATTATCCTACTATCTCTTTCTGTATATTTTGAAATACAATTTAATTAAACAATCAATAATGAATAGTTACATGTGGTTCAAGGCAAAATATTTGCAAAACAAACAAAGCTAAGGACAAATGAGATATACCAACAAGCTTTAGTTAACTTCTAAATAAAAAGCTTATATACAACACAATTTCACTTATTGACAATATAGTAGGATACACAACTTCTAAATTTGTTTTTCCATCTTAATTTGATTAATAAAGGATCAAATCCCAAGATACACAATCACCAAAACCCATAACAAAAGGACATTACAATAAAAATCGACATGGGGCCGAAAACCCAATATTGAGAAAACTCTAATGTAGATACACTATTCGACGGATCTGTATAAGCTTCCGCCTCCCAAAATAAAAACATCACCTTGTTGAAACCAAAACAAGAGATACACCAAACCTTCTCTACTAAAGATCTATAAACGAGAAATAAAACCAAGGACAATCTAAAGCCGGACCGACGGTGGCTGTGTAGACCCACTCCATCGCTCGGAATCACTAAACACAGTGACTTTTTTTCTCTCACAACTTCTAAATATAAACACTATAATTTTCATTATTTTAGATATTATATACCCGCACATGCGGACCAATCACCTAATTTTATTATTTTAGATATTATATGCCCGCACAGGGTGCGGGACAGTCACCTAGTACATATTATATTATAGAAATAAGTATATAAACGATTTTAAATTTTTTTTTATTAATAGTGGATAAAAAATCATACATTACAGAAAACTAATAATATTTTTAATACTCACTCACTATATATATGTATTCTTAAAATATGTTCAATGAATGCAAAACAGTCAAATGTATTTTTTCTTAAAAAAATCTATCATTTTCCAGAGATAAATGTCGATAGTATAGTTGAGTTATCACTTTCAAAAATTATTTAATTATTTTTATATTTAAAACAGAAATGATATGGTATGACATTTTAAAATATGAATAAATAAAAAGTTTATTATAATATAAAACTACAAAAAATCAAAACATTATATTAATACAAGATTAATTTTCTATTCATATAATTCATATAGCTTTAAGTATAATAAAATTGACATGTTTCTTTTTAATAAGAAAAAAAAGAAAAGAGACATAAATAAAAACATGAGTGAATAATAATAAAACCTTTTGTTGTATTCTTCGTTATTTTGTTATTGTACATACATAATTTTTTATTTTTATACCAAAATATTTTTTACGTATTAATATAATTGTAAACTAATTATTTTTAGGTGTTTATACAACATAAGGAAAAATTGAGCAAGGAAGAGAAATATAAATGATAAGTTATAAAATTGTTTATGTTGAAGATGCAAAATCTAACGCAAATTAATTTTATAATAAATTATTTAAAATAATGATAATTATTTTTTGCGGTGTAATAAACTTTAAAAATATATGATAACAAAGTTATAACAAAATTTATACAACTAGAAACATGTTATTTTGATATATTAAAACTGTTGAATCTCATGTTTATATTAATCTATGTCTAAAATAATGACATCACATCATTTAAGAATTAAGATATTTTATGTTATATAATTATTTAATCAAATTTACTTTTTTGAAAAACAGTTATTTAGATTTACTTAAAATATGTATGTAATGAAGTAATTAAAGAAAAACAAAATTAATAATAAAATATTTATTTTTTCAATGAAAATCTTGGTCAAAGGAATCAATGTTTGATAAGATAGTGTGAAGATTGGAGAGAATTTGACGATGAATTTATTTGGTTAGTCAATTGTGATTTTATATTAAATTCTAAATAAAAAAATATGTAAGAAAGGGAGAAAGAGAGGGAGATATGGTGATGATAATGATTAGAGAGTCGGTTATGATCATAATGAAAATGAAAAAGAATATAAGTGAGAGACTGAATATAAGTGAGATAGATTCTGAAATCATTTATTAATACTATGTCAAAGTATATAATATTTCTATACAAACTTTTATATTTACAACTATATATTATCATTTTATTTATTTTGAATTTTTCAACAATATATTTTTTAAAAATTTTTATACACAAAAATATAATAATATATAATAACCTTTTAGTTCATATACTATTTAAATGTGTTATTAGAAAACTAGGAAATTTTAGTAATTCATTTAAAATATTAATGGCAAATCAAATTTTAGTTATAAATTTATTTTTATTTTAATTATAACAAAAGAGAAATACCCTAGGATGAACCGAAAAAAGTTTTTTTTTATCACAAATATACACCTAAAAAATAAAAATGACCAAAATAGACTTAAATTTGTTATCAATATATTTTGGGTTAACTAATCTTAAACCTTTTTTTTAGAGTTGAGGAGTGGAGTTTTGGGGATAGAATTTTAAATTTTTAAAAATTAAAAAAACTTCAAATTTACAAAATATTTGGTCATTTTAGTTTTTGAGGTCTATTTTGTGATAAAAAAAACTTTAAAAGTTCAATTTGAGAGAATTGACCATAACAAAATCTGTTGAGTAATTTTTTCAAAAATATTACCAAAATTAAATATTTTAGAAAAATAAAGTATGAATGTAGTAACAAAAAAAAATCAAAATTCATGTAATGTTTCAAACTCAAGAATAGTTGTGTAATTTTCCAAAGTTTTTTTTGACAAAATATTCAAACTCAAAATGATAATATTTTAAATTTTACAAAACATAAAATCATAGATAATAAAGAATAAATTTTTGAAGTCTAATATTTTGAAGTCTTAATTTCAAAAAAAAACAAAAACAAAACATAATGTAATAACATAAAAATATCTTATATGAATAAAATTTCCTAAATTAATATGATAGATAGTACTATGTATAAAATTTATTAAAACAATAGGGCTATATTATTTAAACAAAAACGTGTTTTATGTATAAATCCCGAAAATACTAAAACGATATATGTTAAAAGTATATTTTCTTAATAAAAATATGTAAATATAAATTATTTTAATCATATTTCTTTTCTACAATATAAATAAATAAATTTATTAATGTATTATATGCAAAATGTATAAATTAAGGAAAAATATATTTTAACGAAGGTTCTCTATTTTTTTTTCATATTGTTATTTTATTATACATAACTCGAAAATATATTGTAAGTAATAAAAATTAATAACAAAGTAAATTGTATTAAAAATCACTATATATTAATAACACCGAATAAGAAATATAAACAATAGTATTATAGAATTACACAGTATATAACACTAAAATAAAAATTATAGACTGAAAACATTTTTAATAATATCAAATACATTTATAAAATAAAAATATCTGCACGAACGTGCATGTTAAAATCTAGTAGGGTTTAAAAAGTTAAAGATGCTCTAACTGATAATTTACTTCATAAATATCATTAAAAACTCATAACAATGTGAAATGTGAAACATACCTATTTATCTAGTAAAACCAAGCGTTATTATAGAAAAAAAATGGATGTAAGAATGTATCAAGTAATAACCAATCATTTAAATATTTTAAACCCATAATTAATTAAAACAAACAAAAATCAAAGAAATTTTAAACCAATACTGAAACAACATATAAGGTTTTCAAAGTCTTGATCCAAGAAGTTTACTCGCTTGATCACATTTGACATCATTAGCAATTCCGACCTGTGCATTTGCAAGATCATACTCCACCCACACGTTTTGCTGATGAACATTCCCTATTATAAACATCTCAAAGCCCGCGAGGCCAGAGTTTCCGAACGTGAAACAATACTTCTGGTGGGATCCGGACCCTGGTACCAGGTACAACAGCTTCTCACCCGACACGGTCAGCTCTGCGCCTGTGAACATCAGTCTCACCGTTGGCAATTTCGAAAAATCAGGTTTAGTTGACCCGATTTGGAAACAAAGATCCAATGCCGTTTGGAACACGTAACTCGGGTCAACAGTGAGAACCGATTTGGTTTGTTCGGTAAACTCGGTTTTCAAGACGTTGTAAACCGGATCTAGCAGGAATGTGAACTGAGTTCCCGAATCTAAAATTGTCTGACCGGCTCCAGTATGATCCGGGACAAATGCAGATTTTGGGATGGGTAACAATTTTGACCCGACCTGAATCCCTTCGAATTGGACCGTGTAAGCGAACCGGTCCCAGTAAGGTAACCGGTCGGTTTTAGTTACCAAAGGCGAGTATTTGAGAGGTGGAAGAGAAGCGCCACCGAGAACCAGAACACCGGTAGAGTCAGAACCGGAGATACAATAAGAGAATTTTGATAAACCCATCTGGTTAATAAACGATAACCGACCCCGGTTCATTCCCATTAAACCGGTTGATGTCTCTGCGTTGTCCTCTGGTGTTGCACTGGAGCTTGAGTCCATGCACCCGAATGCCGTGGCGGGTCTTGTCAACAACCCGACTCCAAACGTCTCTTGAGCAAGATTCCCATCCAAGGAAGATCCATCTACGTAAGAGACAGCCACGTGGCAGAGGTTAGCATGTTTGTCACACGTGGCGGGAGCGGGTAAGTCTTGGGTTTGGATGGTGCAAACGGGTGAAGAACATGGTAAAGCAATGTAAGAAGAGGACTTCGCATGGTCGAAAATGGGTGTTGCTGTTGAGGATTGTTTGCAGTAGAGCCATGTAAGCTCGCTTCCAGTGTCGAGAACCATCTTGATGGTCTGTGGAGGTGAACCGGCGGTGAGAGAGACGGTGAGTGTGACATCGTGTGTGAAAGGAATCTTAACGGATGGAGAAGAAGAGATACGACGTCGTTGGAGCAATGTTGTTGAAGAAGTGTTATGGATATTTTGGGTAGTGAGAGGGAAGATGAGTGTTTGGTTTGTAAGAAGTATTCTTGAGAAGGCAAGAGGGGAAAATATTAATAGGCAAAATGTGATTTGGAGATGAATCGATGATGAAATCATCTTGTTAATGTATTCTTTATCTCAGTATTTACTTGCGAATCCTTTGTGTTTATGTACGTATGTCAGTGTTTAAATGTTTTTTTGCAAGTAAGGAATAAAAGCACAAGGATGCAAATGCATTTATACCGTTAATAAATCAAGGAACCAGATATGTGAGGGATACTGGAAATAATTGATTGATTTTGTAGTTAATAGAGATAACCAATCGAAGATTGATAAGAAGGAGATAGTATAAGGAAATTGATGTGTACACATTGCCAAAGACGTGAATTTAGCTAAGGTAACAGTAGGTGTTAAAATCTGACATTCTTGGGTATGTGATCTGTCAAAGTTAAATATAATGAGTTTCAACTTAATTTATAATTTGTATTTTAGTTATAACTTTCTTTATTCAGTAAGATCCACTACATATTTCTGAAACAGAAACTTAGTTTAATTGATATTTCATGTATGTATATTGAATGTTGGGAATAAAAGATGTTCAACAGGACCAATCAGTTCCATTAATTTTATAAGATATAAGAGCACATCCATCATTAAATTTATTCAACTGTATTAGCTAGTTATACTTATTTATATGATATGTATTCTATACCAATTTTAATAGCTTGTCAACAACAGTTATACATAATTAATATTTACACCAAAAAACAGTTATACATAATAAAACGTTAAAATATAATTCTAAAATTTCCAATTTCAGATTATTTTCTAATATCTGATATTATATTAAATGATATTAATTCATTATATCATATTAAATTTAATTTATATCTGTTAAAATTTAAACACTATTCAATATATAGTTTTATTAATACAGTGGATCTTGATAAATGAATAACCATTTTTTAAAGAGAATGCTATATTAGAACTTGAGCTTTGTGAAAGTTTGTTACGATGAAAATAAAAATGTATTATCTCAAGTTACCGTTTACGCTGTACATTACAAGTATTTATATTACCCAGTTTATACAAGTAAATCACTGGTACTTGACTTAAAAACCAATCGGTCTAATACTCTAATACCCTCTCCTCAAGATGGAAGATACAGACTATGGATACCAATCTTGCCAATTAACGACTTGAAGAGAGCAGGTTGAACAGTTTTAGGGAGAATATCAGCAAGGTGAAGAGCATATTGAACATGAAGTGATTTCTGCAGTGTTTTGAAACCCGACTCGGACCCGCGGTTGAACCGGTAAACCCGATGACCCAAAATAAATCCGGTTCGGGTTTTGTTAAAAACCCAAAATTTAAAAACCCGCAAAAACCTGAAAAATCCCGCTAAAACCCAAAACCCGATGCCGGTTGAACCACTGATTGAACCAATAAATAAAATTTTACTTTTTTCAGTTTTAAATTATGTTTTAATTCTGTTTTATATTCTAAATTTCTAATTTAAAAGTTAGGTTTTCACGTTTTAGTTATTGGCATTGACGTTTTCTTCTTTAAATTTAGATTAAACTTTCCGACTTTTATCATACATAATATCTATTACACTATTTTATCTGGGATTTTTAAATTTTGATGAAGATTTCACTATACCACCTGAAAAAAATGAACTGAAGGGTGGTAGCGAGAACCAAAATTAGTTGATGTGATTTAGTGTTAGTTTATTTTTGTTATTGTTAATTTATTACAATGATGTTTTACTTTTGGTTTATTTTGGATTTGAAGTTTAATTTATTATTTTCATTAGACATTTAAATATTTATGAATTTTATATCTTGATTTTTGTAGATGTCATTACTCTTAACTTGTTATAAAAAAATTAAATTATCTAAACTAGTTTTTGATATTTTGTATATTTATACATTTTATGTTTTAAAAAAATTTAGAAAATTTAGCTTCTATATTTTTATTTTCATAGCTAATATATTATTATATAATAAAGTTTCATTTATTAACCCGCGGGTGAACCGCGGTCGACCCAGTGACCCAATGACCCGGTAAGTCGTCCGGTTCAGTGTCCGGGTCGGGTTTAAAAACATTGGATTTCTGTTATTAATCTCTCTCACATATACAAAGTGTTGAAGATGAAGCTTATATACAAGCTTTACTAAACCAAATACAATAACCAATATAAACCAAAGTAAACCAGAGATATTTAAGCTAATACTCCCTTTCAAGATGGAAAGGACTTGCATTTTGAACTTGAAAGCTTCAATCAGTGAGACAGTAACCACCGATAGAAATTGATAAATCTCTAAGAAATCCAAGAATAATAATTCCACAAAGACGATGAAGGATAGAGAGAGACTCATGACATTGGATCTTGAATCAGAGATGAACAGAAATGTAATCAGAGAAAAATGAAGTGAGAATTGTGAATTTAACCTAACTCTGATACCATATTAGAACTTGAGCTCTGAGAAAGTTTGTTACGATGAAAGGAAAAATGTATTATTTCAAGTTACCGTTTACAGTGTACATTACAAGTATTTATATTACCCGGTTTATACAAGTAAACCACTGGTACAATCAAATTGATTTAATAACCAATCGTTCTAATACTCTAATATCTCCATGTAAAGAGTTCTCAAATTTCCATGAGGTTTTAAAGTGTTTCGTTTGAGAAACCTCATACATTTTTTTTTTTTCATATATTTAGCATACATCTTACTTTTTCCATGGTGAAATATTGTACATAAAACGTTACCAAAATACAGTTAAAAGAACCTAGATATAAAATCCATCATCTCCCATCGGTTTTAGTTTTACCTGCGAATGAGAATATAGACGAAGAAGTACTAGTCTGATTTGGTCCACTATAAAACCTAGCTGAATCCACAAAGTCCTCAAACTCGCCAGCATTACCACCACTTGCATCATCAAGACACATACTATCATTTGCATCTAAAAAATCCGGCGCTGGAACAACTTCCGGCGACGGGAACTGCTTCTCGAGATACATAACCACTTGTCTCATCGTAGGTCTCACCTCAGGTGAATTGTTCGAACAAAGAAGCCCTAGTTTGATAACCATCACCACTTCATCTTCATCATACTCACCGTTCAATCTCCTGTCCACAACATCTCTAATGTCACCACTTTGCCACCTTGACCAAACCCAATCAACCATTACAAGCTCTTCCGGTAACGCATTTGTCTCTATCGGTCTTCTCCCGCAAGCTACTTCTAAAAGAAGCGCACCAAACGCGTAAACATCAGTGCTTGTTGTTAACTTTCCTGATTTAGTAAGTTCTGGTGCTAAGTACCCAAACGTACCAACCACTCTTGTAGTGCCAGGGTTTGATCCATGCTCATATAATTTAGCAAGACCAAAATCCCCAACACGACCGTTCATATCACCGTCTAATAAAACGTTTGCGGCTTTAATATCGCGATGAATAACGGTTTGTTCCCATCCTTCATGTAGGTAGAGTAAAGCAGAAGCAACCCCTTTGATAATTTTGAAGCGTTGGTCCCAAGTTAAGATGACTTTAGGGTTTTCACCGAACAAGTACATGTCTAAGCTACCATTAGGCATGAAGTCATAGACCAGAAGCAAATCTTGTCGTCTCCGACACCAACCTAGCAACTGAACAAGATTCCTATGCCTGAGGTGACCGATGCTCGAGACTTCAGACATGAACTCTCGTACACCTTGTCTTGACTCGTGAGAGATTCTCTTGACAGCTACAAAATCTTCCGAATCTGGAAGCTTTCCTTTGTATACTTTCCCGAATCCACCAGACCCTAGAAGCTCCTTGTCCCCAAAACCATTTGTAGCTTTCTTCAGCTCTCTATAAGAGAATCTGTGCGGACCAAAGTCGAGCTCCCACTCTTCAACTCTGTCTTCATCTTTGGCCTTTTTAATACCAAACATAACTGCTACGGCAATAACTGCGATGATCAAAAGGGAACACGAGAGAGATACTCCTAGGATCAAGCCAGGGCTCTTCTTCTTCTTGAGTGGACGTGGAACCCTAGGGAGAGATGGTAGAGACAGAGACAAAGCTTCTCCACTCATGTTAAAGTTCCAACCTAAGATGTAATGAGAGCTAGCTAGCAAACCGGTCGAAGCAGAGAATCCAACATACATTTCATCTCCAAAGACAGGGGAGAGATCTACATTGTAAGAGAGAAGAGACAATTTTGGTTTGTCAGAGAGTGGAGAAATCTTAACATCTAACCTCTTTTTGTCTGAATCATAATCAATCCAAGCTTGTATCACTCTACCACTGTCGAGGAAAAGCTCTTTCTTGGTTGAGTTTGGGAGAAAATAAGCAGCTGGAGTTGAAATACTTGACTCCAAACTGTTTATATCGATTCCGACATGGTTATCGTTGATGTCTTCAAACTCCAAATCCTTAACCGTATCAAACTCCACAGCGAAGAAGTTGCTAGAGATATTAGCTCGGCTCGAGTTCAATAGCCCTAAGTACTGGCTAGAAAGAGAGCCTGGGAGATTTGGACTTGGAGTGATGGAGAAGGCAAGTCCATGACCTCCAAGCGTGACGTACTCTGGAACCATGGCGATTACAAAAGAGGTGGAGAAAGAAAGAGCTCGGTTTTGACCGATTGGCTTGAATCGGATTGGTAAAGAGTAGAAGGCGTGACCAATGACGCGGCTTGTATCTGTTGTAAGCCTGATGGCTCCAGTGTTGGCTATCTCTGTTACTCCTGACATGATTAGATTTGGAGTGGCTTTTTTGAAGCCAATGAAAGAGAAGTCTTGAGTTAGAGATGAGGCCAAGTGTGTGAAGAACATGAGGAGTAGCCAGAGGAAGACAAAGGTCTCCATCAACAATGTCTTTCAGAGTTTTTAGATTCTCTGTATTTCCTTGTGAGAGAAGTAAAGAGACTTGTATATGGTTGATGAGCTATGAGGATATAGTTCTATGATATGAGGTTAGATTCGTTAGAAATTTAGAGGAAGATTTGATGGTGACGAATGAAAGATTATGAAAGCATGTGGTGCTGAGAATGATGTTGGTTATTCAGGAACATGTGATTATTTCTACACAGATTACAGTATTAACTATTCAATATTTAAACAACAAACTGAACTTACGTCACCTACGATTATACGAGGTTATTAATATTTAGTATATCGATGTTGTTATAGCAGTTGAGATCGTCGGTACTGATTAGTTTAATCAGGGATGAGCAAGTGCTTATATTTTGTTAACAAACGGTTTACAAGTTTTAACTTGATGGTTTTCTCAAAAAGAAAAAGTTTTAACTTAATGGATTTCTTGTGTATATGCCATCGACAATTAATTCAGAATATGTTTGGATATGTAAACCAACTGTGTTTGTAAGTAGGCCTGGGCATCCGGTCCTCGTGTCGGGTTTGGGTCGGATCCTGTCGAGTCCGGGTCTTTCGGGTCTTGGAAATTTAGATCCATATGGGTATCTATGATTTTTCGGGTCGGTTCCGGGTCGGGTCTTGCCGGGGGTCCGGGTCAGTTCGGGTCTATAATTCCAACACCTGTAAAATACCCGTAATTTTCGGATCCATATCGGGTCCGGATCGGGTCCAAATATTTAGAATCTAAATAATACATAACATGCCCAAACTCACTCAAATTCAGTCAATATTTTTCATATATATCTAAAATTTTATAAAATAACTTAAATTAAACTATTAATAATTAAAGAAAAAATTGTTAAACTCTAAATTTTACATTTTAAAACTTTATATTACTTAAAAATGTTACAAATAATAATAAATATTGTTAACAAAAGATATTTCAACTAAATTATAAAATAGTATAGATATATAAAACATAACACAAAATAATAGTTTTGGATATACATGTTTATAAGTCGGGTACAAATCGGTTCTTATCGAATCGGGTCTATCCGCGTCGGTTCTTTTCAGGTCCGGGTCTATTCGGGTCGGTTCTTTTTTGGGTCCGGGTCTATTCGGGTAAAAAAATTTAGACCCAATAGGTACTTGTAAATTTCCGGGTTGGGTTCGGGTCGGATATTTTCGGATCGGTTCCGGTTCGGGTCTTCGGATCCGGGTAAAATGCCCAGACCTATTTGTAACACATAAAGGAAGTCTAAATAGTTAACTGTTTTTAGTTACGGTATGGACTAACTTTGGTGAGTGATCGGCTCAGTTTTATTAGAAGATTTCGGGGGTTCATATTTGATGATTTTTTTTTGTCCTCAACAAAGAAAATATATTCTATAAGACTCTGTAAACCAAACTGGTAACTCTACATCTATATGGACAACAAATGACGTTTGCTTCCTGGCGTTTCGTACCAGACCGTCCGCCTTTGTATTTATTTAACGAATGATCTCTAAGTGATTAAAACCTTCTTGAAGAATCTTGATATCGTCTAAATAATTCACAAAAACTGGTCATTCCTCTGGTGTAGAAACCATCTTTACCAATTGAATGCAATCTGTAGCAAAGGTAACATTATACTGACATAAATTCCTCATGCTCTCCATTGTCTATATAAGAACCTCTATTTCCAAATGTAGCGATGAAATGCTTGCTCTTGTGTTCCTTGTTCCCATTAAAACCTTAAATCCTTCAAGTATACTTAACCAGCCCTGGCCCGAAAAAGGCTCTTGGTCTTTTCATGAACCATCTGTGAAACACCAGCGGCCTGGTATTACTGGTAAAGTGAACTCTGTTGTCTCCTGTGAATGTGGAGCTTCCCTAGTTTTGGGGACCTGCACCTTAGCCCAAAGTACAGATTCCGTCTCTTCCAATCTTAAAGTATCTCTGGGGTCCATGTCAATATTGCTAAACACCTTATTGTTTCTTGATTTCCAAATGTAACATAAGATCCATGCAAATTGATGATCATCCAAGAATTGTGACCTCCGCCAATATAAGTAGTCCATATTCGTAAAGAGTTCCTAGAAAGGGAAAGCGTTTGGATTTGATTGTACCTTAGCGATTGTCCATACTTGCACGGTCGGAGGGCATTCAAAAAACACATGATTAATTGATTTCTCACTGGTTTTACATTGTGAACACTGAATCTCCCATTGCATCCCTTTACTCCGCAAATTTTTCTTAACTGGTATACAGCCTGACACCATCTGCCAGAGAAAATGTTGTATTTTCAGTGGACACCAAATCTTCCACGAATAAGCTTTTATGGGGATCACCGTGGGTCCAAAAAAACGCATGTTCTCTACCTCTATCTGGGTAAATCCGTTCTTCCTGATAACATGCTTTTACCGTATATTTTCCATTAATAGTGTAATGTCATCCATCCTGGTCCATGAGCTGATATCTACTTAATGCTATACTTTCTATAATCTTAGCGTCCTCTGGTTCCACCAATGACCGAATTACCAGAGAATTCCAGGTACGCAATGATGAATGTAGGAGCGAATCCACTGTGATATCCAAATAAAGATGTTGAAAATTACCATTTACTGGTCTCAGACGAGTGGTTGGGAGCCATGGATCATTCCATACTGATATAGATGATCCCGGTCCCACCCTTTTAATTAGTCATTTGCAAACCAGAGATCTAGCTGAGATGATTCTACGCCATCCATAAGATGGTGAGTAAGAGCGGATCGTTTCTAAAGGTGAAACATTCCTAAAATACCGTCCTTTGAAGACTTAATAAAATAGAGTATTGGGGTTTGCCATAGTTGTTTCCCTAACATAGCCATATTGAAATCCGAAAGGTCTTTAAACCCCAGACCTTTTTCATCTTTACTGAGGAAAAGTTTGTCCCAAAATTTCCAATGAATATCCCTTTTATCCCCTCATGAACCCCACTAAAATTATCTCACCGCACTCGTCAGTTTCGAGGTGATGTTTTAAGAATCCGACAACAAGACATCACATGATTTGGTAAAACCGTGACGACTGATTTAAACACTACCTCCTTTCTTCCCTTAAAAAAAAAAATTAAAATTCCAATCATTGACTATGTTATTCACCTCCTTTCTTCCCTTAGAAAAAAATTAAAATTCCAACCATTGACTATGTTATTCAAACGTTCATGCACAAAACCAAACACTTGAACCTTGTACCCCCCAAACTTTCAGGCAGTCCCAAATATGATCATATTCTTCCAATATTTTGAATACCTAATATATTCCTAAGTTCCTGCCGGACTCCTTCCTTAATTTTGAACTCAAATTGAATTGAGGACTTTTAAAAACTTCTCAGTTTATCAGACACCTTCTCATAATCTTTCAAAATCCTAAGAATAGTATAACATTCCTCCTTCAGTGCCTTACAAAAAATAAATTATCATCAGCAAATAAATAAATAAAAAGATAGAGGATTTCTTTATGTTCGCAATCAATACCTATCTTTATGAAACTGATGGGTAAACACGTTTCACCTTCATTCCTGTCAAGAGTTTATGTCGTTTTGCCTTCTTTATGTTCGCAATCAATACCTATCTGCACAAGATAAATAAATAAAAAGATAGAGGATTTCTTTGTCAAAGTCCTTTATGCGGAGCAATATATCTTTTTGGGTGGCCATTTAAAAGGATTTTGTATTGTACCGTTGAAATATATTCCATAATCAATTGGATGATTTTTAAACTGACATTTTACGGTTTAGTGAAATCTGTAGCACTATTATTTTCGTTCTTTTTAGTTTTAGGTTACTGATTTAAAATTTATATGTAGCTATGTACGTAGGTCCAGAGATTGTTCAAAACAAAAAAAGTACGAAGGTCCAGAAACAATACATGCAGAAATAGTTTGTTTTTAGCTTCAACGCACAATAGAATCTCTATAATTTAATATTCGATAAATTAATAATTTTAATAAATTAATAAATTTTGCCGGTCCCAACTTGGGTCAGTTCAAATTTAACACAAATCGATAAAATATTAAGATAATAATATTTTAGAAATTCTATATAAATATATGATTCCATTAAAATTAGAAATTAATAATTTTTATGTATACATATTTTATATAAGTAAGAATCTATTATTATACTATCTGATTTATATTCACAATAAAATTATCTTTATGTTTTTTTTAAAACTTAAAAATATTTTTGATGAAATTTAGTACTCCCTTCGTTTCGAATTAATTGTCATTCTAGAGAAAAAAATTCGTTTTAAAATAAGTGTCGTTTTAGAGTTTCGAGGCAAGTTTTTTTAGTTTTATATGATATTCTAATTTTCTATTGGTTAAAAATTGGTTAGGTGTATAGGTAATTGTGTTTTTATCTTGAAAATATGTAAAATTAAATGTTTTCTTAATCTATGGGCAAGAACCTAGAATGACAATTAAAATGAAACGGAGGGAGTAATATATATCTAAAATCACTTTAAAATTGATGTAATATATATTATATACACTAAATAATATAATATAATTAATATAAATTTCAAAAATAATAATTAAGGTCTATACATTAAAATTAAGTATTTTTCTTATTTTGGAATAAATATATCTTGTTTCCCAAAAACAAAATAAATCTATACTATTAAAAGTAAAGGCACCCTTGAAAAATCGACTAAGGGAAGTTGTCTGCAACCTCATTAATAACATTATGGTAATTTATTTTTGGGCTTACATCTATATATATATATCGATTTCTTACCAATCATATCACATATTACATATACCCGATTTATTCTCTCTCTTTCCATTAATTACTCTAACCATATTCCATACTATATTTTTTTTTTTGATGAAATATCAAATTTATTGATCAAAATAGGAATTTACAAAGTGATGTTCCTAAGTATTATTAAAGAATGAAAGAATATGCCACTAAGATGAATAGCTAACTTCAAACCAACGCCTTCGCAGCCCCTCCAGTGGATGGCTGAAGACATAGCGAAGTGAGGAGATGCAATTCTGAATCTGCTTGTCAATAGCTCGAGTAAGCATCTCCACAGTTACCCAAGGGCCTCCGTGACGTCGGGAACTCCTCTCTCTCCAAATGGCATACAAAGCCGTTTGGAACACCATCTTCAAAAGAATTGAGTCTAAACGAGGGCGACCATGTTGCAGCAGTGACACTATTCCTTGAAAAACCTAAAACAAAAATGGCGAATAATTTGTAGTTGTCTTTCTTGAGCGATATAAAACTGAGGGAGACTGCATGTCGCATCCAAGTCAAAATCCTTCATACATGGAGATATTTCATGAAAGACATAAGGGAGACCATGGAACTAATCCTTTGTGATGCAAATGTAAGTTTATCGTTTTGTACAGATTTATGATTTAGATATCTTCATTTTGTAAAAGTTTAACCTAAATTTTAATGTTTTTTTTGTTTATATAGGGAACTAAGATCCATGCCTTGTGTAACAAGACATACATTCCTGAATTGGCAAAACATATTCGTGTTGGAGTATGGAGGAATATTGATTGTTACAGTGTGTCTGCCGCTGGTGGAGCATACAGATCAACTTAGCATAAGTATCGCATAGCTTTTAATGACACCACCAAAATCGCCGATTCTACACACCGTGATGACAACATGTTTCTCGATCTGGTTGATTTCAAAACCATAGAAAGTATCACATATACAAATTTTCTTATTGGTCAGTTTTCTCCCATTTTTATAAATTATCTCCATTGTTGTGTATCTATCTAACACGAGTATATTTTTTATCTAGATGTTATTGGACAAGTTCACGACTTGGGTGATCTGGAAACCATAGGGTGCAGTGGTGGGAAACAAATGAATAAGTTGGAGTTTAGTCTCGTGGACATTTCGTAAGTTTTATATATTCAATATAAAAGATATAGTCCTATAAACATATTGATTTATAACTTGATATACAATTCTATTAGTGGTCAGAGATTAGCTTGCTGCCTTTGGGGTAAATTTACTGAGAAGCTTCATACATCTAGCCAAGAAACATAAGACATGGTGATATGTCTTGTACGATTTGCTAAGCTTGTGCAATATAAATGTATTCTTTGAAAATGAAAACTTCTGTTTCGATTTTGTACTAAATGACCATTATTTATATAGTTGGAAAGATGTTTCTACTAACTCAATGTTTAAATAGTATTATTTTATATGTTAGAGCTTGTGATCTTCAGAATTTCTTCTAATTTTAAAACTATATTATTTTGAATCATAGATATTATCTTACAACTTAGTTAGAATTTGAATATTATTAGATTCCAGTGGATTTTACTTACCCCTGGCTCTCTGCAAAGTGTACAACATGTGGTAGATGGGGTCACTATGCAACTTTCTGCAAGGAGGAAAGGAAGGAACATGAGGAAACTTCTCAAACGAATGTTGAGATTCAGAAGAGCAAGGAAAGTAAGGGTGGCGAAGTAAGAAGGGAGGAGAAGGAAGAGCTGATTAAGAAAGATAATACATGTTGGGGTATTGTATTGGTTAATGAAGGAAAGGATGAAGAAAATAAGGAGGAAAGAGAAATCTGAAACTGAAGAGGGTGAGATAAAAGATTGGAACAAAATGGCTACAGAAAAATTTGGAAGAAGTCCAGGCTCGCTGTTAAAGTATAGTGAAGTGGTAATTGCCACTCCATCTAGATATGCAGCCTTGAGAAATTTGGATGAAAAGGGAGAAGAGATTGAGAAGGTGGAGTCTGAAGAAATGGAGGAAGTGAATACTAAAATGAAAGCTGATATAACTCAAAGTTTGGCGGAGGAGAGTGTGGAGAACTTTAAAAAAAGTAGAGGAAGACAAGTTCTACCGCGATTATCCAAAACAAACCACATGGTACTATCTGAAATGCAGGCAAAAGATATGAAACTGGGGGTATTAAGAAACTTCATTAATGGTTAGTTTCTTCTGGAATATGAGAGGTTTAATAAGTCAGTAAAACATGGAGTGGTAAAGGAGTATTTGAAGTATCAATCTATGTATTTTGGATGTCTGATTGAAACTAGAGTAAAAGAAAGAAAGGCTGAGAAGATTGTTAAGGAGGTTTTTAGAGATTGGAGTTTTATGGCGAATTATTAGGATAATAGGTTGGGAAGGGTGTGGGTTCTATGGAGAGCTGGAGTGAGAATCACACCTATTTATAAGAGTGCACAATTAATTTCTTGCTTGGTGTTGCTACCTGGGCATGTGGAGGAATTTTTTTGTTCTTTTATCTACGCTTTCAATACTATGGAAGAAAGGAAGGAATTGTGGGATGAGTTGAAGAATCACTATGAAGCTCCAATGTTGAAAGGTAAAATATGGATGCTAATGGGATATTTCAATGAGATTTTGGATGGTGAAGAGCATTCAGGTTTTGATGATTCTCCTAGAATATCGATGGGTATGAGGGACTTTCAGGAAGTGGTCAATTACTGTAGGCTTACTGATATGAGCTATCAGGGTGCTCTTTATACTTGGTGCAATAAACGTCAAGAAGGGCTCATATGCAAGAAACTGGACCGTGTTTTGATTAATGAAGAATGGGTTAATGGATCAAAAGCTTATTGTGTTTTCGAGTATGGTGGATGCTCTGATCATGCGAGATGTAGAATTCAGTTGGAAGTGCAGGAGAAGAGGAAATGGAGACCGTTTAAATTCTTTAATGTGATTGCTAAGATGCATGAGTTTATTCCTCTCGTGGAAACTCAATGGGGTGAGTATGAAACTCTTTTCTTATCAACTTCGGCAATGTTTAGATTAACAAAGCAGCTGAAAGGTTTGAAGAGAGCTTTGAGACATCTGAGTAAGCTGAAGTTAGGTAATCTTACCAGGAAGACGAAAGATGCTTATCGAGATCTTTGTACTAGACAGAAGGAGACTTTGGAGAACCCAAATTCCGATACAATGAGAAAGGAGTTGAAGGCTCAAGCAAGATGGCAAAAATTATCTGAGCTGGAAGAAGAATATTTGAAGCAAAAGTCTAAGCTGCATTGGCTTGAGGTTGGAGATGGAAACAATAAATCTTTTCACAATGCTGTCAAGATAAGAGAAGTTCGAAATGCTATAAATGAGATTAGATATGAAGATGGTTCAGTAGTTAAAGAAGGGAGGAGATCAAAAAGGAAGCAGAGAATTTTTTACTGAATTCATGACTTCTCAGCCTATAGGATTTGAAGGTGCTACTACGGAGTTTCTTCAAAAGTTATTGGAATTTCAGTGTTCTGAGAGGGACTGTATTAATCTTGTGAGGGATGTTACAAAGGAGGAGATTAAGGAGGTTATTTTCAAAATGCCCACAAGTGAATCCCCTAGACATGATGGCTATACATCAGAATTCTTTAGAGAAGCTTGGCCGGTAATTGGGAATGACATAGCTGTTGCGATCCATCGTTCTTCATCAAAGGGTTCTTGCCTAAAGGTATCAATTCAACCATCTTAGCCTTAATACCTAAGAAAAAGGAAGCTATTGGGATGAAATATTACAGGCCTATTTCATGCTGTAATGTACTCTATAAGGTGATTTCGAAGATTCTGGCCAACAGATTGAAGAGTTCATTACCGCAGTTTATTACCCTGAACCAATCAGCGTTTATAAAGGAGAGATTGCTGATGGAGAATGTGCTGCTAGCAACTGAGGTGGTAAAGGACTATCACAAAGATAATATAACCTCAAGATGTGCAATGAAGATTAACATCTCCAAAGCTTTTGACTCAGTTCAATGAACTTTTCCGATGAATACGTTGAAGGCTCTCGGGATACCAGAACAATTTGTACACTGGATATCATTATGTGTCACAAAAGCTTTTTTTTTCTGTCCAGGTTAATGGTGAATTGGTAGGATACTTTCAAAGTAAAAGAGGCTTGAGACAAGGATGCTCCTTATCTGCCTATTTGTTTGTGATCTGTTTGAATGTTCTGTCAAAAATGATTGATAAAGCCGTGAAAGATGGAAAAATAGGCTATCATCCTCGGTGCAAGAACATAGAGCTTACTCATTTGTGCTTCGCTGATGACTTGATGGTCTTTGCGGATGGTACAAAGAAATCTGTTGAAGGGATTCTAGAAGTTTTCGAGGATTTTGACAGAATGAGGGTCTCAAAATAAGTATGGAGAAATCTACACTCTTTATGGCTGGAATAGCTATTCCTCAGCAAGAAGAGATTTTAGATCAGTTCCCTTTTGAATCAGGGAAGCTTCCTGTGCGCTATCTTGGTTTACCTCTTCTCACTAAAAATATGACTCTTGCTGACTATATTCCGTTACTTGAGAAGATCAGGAAAAGAATCAGCTCGTGGGCTAGCATATACCTTTCTTATGCGGGGAAATTACAATTGATCAAGTCTGTGATCATGAGCTTAACTA